CCGATCCCGATCCCGATCCCGATCCCGGCCCCGCCGCCGTGTCGCGGGGAGGTGCGCGGAGGAACAGGTAGATGGACAGAGGACGCTGGTTTCATTGTCATACGCACAGATATAGATATATACATGTCTGTATATACGTACGTGTGCGTGCAACCTGATGCTTGCACATACATGCATGCGTAAGTCTACACGCATATAGCATCAAGTTGTGTACACACACACACACATATATATACACGTGTATGACTGAAACCAGTGTAAGACATAGGATAGATATCTGTCTAGCTAATCGCGTATGCGTGCAACATCAAGCGTCCACTGTGGTACTGGAGTCATAGTTATATAAATATATAGTGATATGTGTCCAAATATAACTATATATATGCGTGTATATTTATGTGTGCGTGTGTACACACATATATATGTATGAATACATATACATATGTATAAATCTATATATTTATACATATATATTTATATTTATATTTATATACATATGAGTATATAACGATATACTCTATCCGTCTATCTGTCTATTTAGCTAGCTAGCTAGATATACAACCGGCTTCCGAGTCATACATACAGATATGTAGATATACAGATGTATATATATGGACACATATCTCTGTGTGTGTACATGTATATGCAACATCAAGTTGTCCACTACGGTGTTGATTTTGGAGTCATATATGAATCTAGTTACATAAGTATATCGTTATATACTGATATGTATATAAATATATGTGTATGTGCATGCAGATATGTGTATGTAACTATACAGATATGGATGTACGAATTTATACACGTATCGTGCTTCTTTCGGAGTCATGCACACAAATATGTGCGTGTGTGTGTGTGTGTGTGCGTGTATAGAGAGAGAGAGGATATATTTTTTTGCGATTTCCCTGTTGGTCTCAAAAGGTATCATTTCAGAACCAAGAGTTCTAGATTTGTGTCTTTTTCTTTTTGTCTCAGACCAACACGGCTACCAAGTACATCCCTCTGCGTGTGTACACACACACACACACACACACACACACACACCCACACACACACCCATCAAGTTGTCCACTCTGGTGCTGGTTTCAACGATATGCGCTCATAAAGATATGCATGTATAAATATATCCATCTATTAATATAGAAATATATCCATTATATATATGTATATAGACGGAATTGTATTTCTATATACGGATAGCTACGTAACTATGTGTTTATGTAACGCACGTATATACAGGATCAAGTTGTGCACTCCGGTGCTGGTTTCAAAGAGAGGGAGAGAGCTCTGTTTTAAACCAGCATCAGAGTGCACAACTTGACTCTGTGCGTGTGTGTGTATCGATCTAGATACAGACAGATAAACGTATAATTGTAGAGTTGTATGTCTGTATAAATATAATTCTCTCTCTGTCTCTCACTAGATATCGTTATTTTTATATGTGCACGTACAAATACATGTGCGTGTGATTCCGAAACCGGCCAACCACATCTCTATCGACACAAACACGCACGCACATTTATAGGGGCACAAGCGCGTGCCTGTCCGTCCGTACCCGCGTGCAGACAGACAGACAGATCGATCGATGGATCTAAATCTCTCTCTCGGGCTCCGAAACCAGCCCCCGGCGCGCGGCTGGATCCGAATCCGCTCCGAAGCAGCGCGCGGGCGGGCGGAGCGGAGCGGAGCGGAGGGGCCGTGCGGGGGCTGCCCCCGGCTCCTTTCCCGTCCAGTGGCCCGCAGCACCCCGCGCACGCCCCGCGGGCCGATCCCGTCCTCGTCCTCGC